GGGTTAAGTGACTTGCCCAGGGTCATACAGCCAAAGTAAAATTTGAACTCAGGTCTTCCTGACTTCAGGCCCTGCATTTTATCTACTATGTCACCTAGCTGCCCTGAGTGCCATGGGTATGTTTGTGCTTTTTTCCTCCCTAGAGAGCCGGTTGTTAAACATTTACCAGCCCACTGCTAGACAGGAGGGTTCATTGTCAGAGTTAAGAGTTCAGAAATCAGGAAGACAGGGAGGAGGGAAGGATAGAATTTAGAATTTAAAACTTTAAAAAAAAATGTTTAAAATAGTTTTAACATGTAATTGGTGAAAAATTAAACATTATTTAGAAAAATAGAGTTCAGAGATCAGGAATCAGGGCAGTTTTAATAAGGAGTGAAGGTGAAAGAGTCCTGGGGTGAAAAACAAAGTTGTTTTGAAGTGTTGGAATCATGTAGGAAGCTGACTATCGGAGGTACAGTGAACAGAGTGCCAGACTTGTCAGGAAGGACTGTTTGAATCCTCCTTCAGGCACTCACTAGCTGTATACCTATGGGCTAATCACTTAACAATCTCTTTCATACTCAGTTTTCCCATCTGTAAAGGGGGGGGGATCATAGTATCTACCCACAGGGCTGTTGTAAGGATCAAATGAGATGAGATATGTAAAGTGTATAAGTTTAGGTACAAAAACAGATGTAGAGAGGCCTACGTTTATTCTGGCCCCAATTTCTACCATGGAGCCATTAGATTTCAGTGGCAGCAAACAGTAGATATGGCCACCCAAAGAGGGTGCCTAGTCACGTCAAATGCATTTGTATTTATTGGATGTCTGTGTACACACAGCCCTGAGTTAGGGACTGGTTTTAATCTGAAATAACAAACGCTCTGTTCAGAGGCTCTCTCAGCCTAAAACAATGTCCACTGAGGGAGACAACGAAATTTGCTTAAATCAAAATACACAGGAGTTAGTTGGTTTTTTTTAAACTATTTAAAAACTTTTTTCCTCTTTCGTCCCAATCCTTGTCCCATCCCCAACCTTGATCGTATTGTATGACTGAATTCCTTTGGGTGGAATAAAGAATCCAAACAAGAAAATTAAGATTTCATCCTGACAAAATTTGGGAGGTGAGGCTGGGACAGGAAAACATTCTGCTCAGATGGATTTCCAGAAGCTGGATTGGGGAAAATGCTGGATGATCTTTTTTTTTTTTTTTTCAATTAAAAAAAATTTTTTTTGGATGATCTTTTAAGATTTGTTCTGGCTATCCAGTACTATGATTCCATGCTGTACAGAGTGGGAAAGTGTCAAATTGGTAAGTCAGAGGACCTGGGTTCAAATCCTACTTAGGCTGCTTACTTTCTATAACAAGCCTTCCCCAATCCTCCTTAATTCCAGGGCTTTCCCTCTGTTAATTATATATAAATAAATATATGTATACATACACACACAAATATACATACACATATATAAATAAATAAATATATACATACACACACACATATATGTCTTGTTTGTTGTACATAGTTATTTGCATGTTGTAGATTGTAGGCTCCTTGAGGGCAGGGACTGCTTTTTGCTTCTTTTTGTTTCCGTAGAACTTAGCACAGTGCCTGGCACAACATGGGCACTTAGTAAATGTTCATTGATTGATATAAGCTGAATAACCTTGGGTAAATTGCTTCACTTCCCTTTAAAATGTGTGTGTAAGGGAGGGTGCAGTGAAAAGAGAGGGGGGGTTGAATCAGATCACCTCTGAGGTTCTAGCTCTGTTCTGAGATCCTATGATCCGTAAACTGGGATTACAGTGACATTAGCCTGGTGTGATTTTAGGGACAACAGGAAGGCCAGCCATGGTAGACTGAGTGAATAAGAAATGATGGCACCATCATGTGTATCAGCACCTTCCTTTATGTAAGGGTTTCCTGGGCTGGATTTACGGAAGTTCTCTGATCTGGGGCAAGATAGGATGGGAGGTGGAGAAGATCCATCTTCTCAGCAGAGCATATTCAGAGTCTCAGTTAATGAGCTTGGGCCTCTGAAATGGGCAGAGGTTAAGTTCAGAGAGCAAGGAGTTAGTTCTTTCAGGGAAATCAGAATAGCTTTCATTCTATCCAACAAACATTTTTTTAAGTGCAAGCCATGTGAATTGAGCTATGGTAGGTGCTGAGGATACAAACACAGAAAAAGAAAGAAAACCCACTGTTCTTGCCCTAGGATGCTTACAATTTGGTAAGATAAGAACTTAGCAGATAAGAAAAACATACAGATAACTAGATTGTAAATTATAATATATTGAGAGCTAGTAATTTCCTATTTTGCCTCTGTTTTTCTCTATCAGAGATCACAATAAGAATAATAATAGCTAGCATTTATATAGTGCTTTAAGGTTTGCAAAGTGCTTTATAAATATTATCTCATTTTATCCTCAAAACAACTTGGGAAGGTTGATGTTATAATTATCCCCATTTTACAGATGAGAAAATCAAGGCAGAGGTCAAGTGACTTGCCCAGGGCACACAACTAATAAGTATGTGAGGTTGGATTTGAATTCAGGTCTTCCTGAATCCAGGTCCAGAGCTTTATTCTCTGGGCCAGCTAGCTGCCTTTGGAATAGAAAGCACAGGAAATAAAAAAGGTAGATGAGGAATTGAAGCCTGAGATAAGTGAGGAACAGTAAGCAATCACTTAGCTATTCTCAATAAGTTCACTACCAGGCCTCAACAAATAACATTCTAAGTTATTGAAAGAAATAGCAGTTGTGATTCTTGAGCAGAAGTGTGTTGACAAATGTTTAATAACCAGCTCTCCAGAAAAAAGCACGCTTTTAATTTTAACTTGCATTATTGACATTTTCACCATCATTTTCCTGAGTCTAAACAATCAACCAAAAAAAAAATAAAAAACAAACAAAAAATAAATCAAGCTCCTAGTGTTTGCCAATTTCTAAGGTATAAATGTTCACCCTGAAAATTTAACAATTGACTCTCCAGAGTTGATATGAGCAGACTTCAGAGCACCATTATTCAGTGATTTCTGAAAAATCCTCTAGTGTGAGAGTCATACCACAGAACTGGATATATGCAAACATTTTCTGTTTTAAAAAGGGGGAAGAAAGTGGATATTCAAACCAGTCAAGGCATGATAGCTTGATCTTTGACAAAGAATGTATAAAAAAGGGGATTATTACAGTCCTTGACCCTGGATGCTGCTGTTTAGGAAGAGATAGGGACTCTTTGACCAGTGAATTCATTAATATAGGATATTCTTGGGCAAAGAAACTCCCTCAACCAATGTAGATGGGCTTTATCTCTGCAACTTGTGGTTTTAGAGTTGCTTAGAGCATTGACAGGTTAAATGACTCTTCTAGGGCCACACCATACAGCCAATATGTGTCAGAGGCAGGATCTGAACCCAGATCTTCCTGGCTCCAAGGCCAGAACTCTAGCCACTATGGCATGCTTCCTCTCTAGTAGCCACTCTTTAGGAAAGATGCCAAAAAACCCAAGTGTACTGAATAGGTGGCAGTCAGGAGGGAGAAAAGCTTAGAGAACATTTTATATGAGGTTAGGTTGAAGGAACTGAGTGTATTAAACTTTGGAGAAGAGAAGAAAACTTCTAACAGAGAAATACTAGTTATCTTCAAGGAAATGATGGGCTGTCATAAGAAAAAGGGATTAGACCTTCTATACTTGACCCTAGAAGACAGAATGAGAATCATTGAGTGAAAAATGCAGAGGCAGATTTTAACTGCATATAAGAAAAAAAAAAACAAAAACAAAAACAACCTAACAATTCAGTCTGTTCCAAAGTTGAATGGGATCCCTTGACAGGCTATTCCCACCACTGGTAGAGGTCTTTCAGATTTGTGGGAATGATCATTTGTTGAAAATATTGTAAAGGGGGTTTCTCTTCATGTATAGTTTGGGCATGCACAGTTGGGGCAGCCAGGTGGCACAATGGATAAAGTACTGGGCCTGTAGTCAGGAAGACCAGAGTTCAAATTTGTCCTCAGACATTTACTAGTTGTGTGACCCTGGACAAATCACATAACCTTGTTTGCCTTAGTTTCCTCATCTGTCAACTGAGCTGGAGAAGGAAATGGCAAGCCGCTCCAGTATCTCTGCCAGGAAAACCTCAAAAAGGGGTCACGAAGAGCCAGACACAACCGATAGTGACTTAACAACAACAATTCGGGCTAGAGATACTCGGAGAATAGAATCACAATGTAAATGCCAGGTCTAGTGATGAGGATGACAGTGAGAACAATGAAGATCATTTTATGATTCTCAGTTTGTCAAAGAGGCACTGTGGCCTAGTGGATAGAGAGCTGGCCTTAGCGTTCGAAGACTTGAGCTCAAGGGCCTACCACTTCTGACCCAGACTGGCTGCATGTCCCTGGGCAAGTCACTTAACCTCTTTGTTCTCTAGGCCAGTGGTGTCAAACTCAGATAGAAACGGATCCCTGCTGGCCTCACATGGATTTGGAAAACCACAAATTAACGTCATGTGTTATTTTGTATTTTAATTTATTTTGTCAAATCTTTCTCAATTACATTTTGATCTGATTTGGACAGCACTAGAGAATATTGTGGGATATTTGACACCTCCACTCTAGGCAGCTCTCTAAGACTATCCACAGGCTAGCACATAGTAGGTGCTTAATAAATGTTTATTGACTGAATGACTAACTCTAAGTTGATAAGGAGGTGCTAACCTGCGTGAATAGAGGGAGTTCCTAACAGAGAGCTTCCTACCCCAATGGAATCACACATCGAGTTTAAAAAAAATTATAACAGAATTCTAAACATAGTATTAGGTAGACTGAGGCTATGGTATAAAGTTGAGGAAAGATAGCAAGACCTTCCTCCCTATCAGATGCTAGTTAAAACATTGTCATGTTTAGAAAACTGTAATGATGACAGAGGAGTTCAGTGCAGGGTAATAAGGGGAGACAGAGTTGGCCATATCTTGGGCACTGACAGTAGGGTTATTAATACAGCATAATTATTCATGTTTTCAGATGCAAGTGGCTGAGATCAAATTGCAGAGCAGGCATACGTGAACAGTGGGTGATAAGAGGAAGGATGCCAAGGAGAGAGAGAAGGGGAGGAGCAGCTATGGAATCTAACCTAGAAGCAAGCTGGGCACTATCTTATGTACACAGTGCAGTGACGCAGAGCAGCAGGTCCCCGAGAGCAAACAAAACAGGAGGAGGAAGAGAGAGCTCCTCTTTCCTGCCCCACCCTGCCCTCCCCTGGCACTGCCATCAGGCCCAGACAAAGAAGATGTCAGGAGGGCCATTTGGCATGAACCCAAAGCTCAATGGGAACCTGAAATTAGCAGGCAAAGACCCATCTACGGTTCAAGTAAGGGATAAGAGCATATGAATGTTCTTACCAGGCTTAATATCCACTGCGACATTGCTGAAAGCTGGATTTCCCATCAGTAATTTGGGCATGCATTTGCAAATGTAAAAGAATTATAAGATCATAGATTTAAAGCTAGAATAGTACTAATAAAACTAATAAAGAAAAAAAAAACATTTTGGTGTTTTATTTTCTTTTCCTGTATGTTAATTTAAAAAAAATATATGACTAGGGGCTGGGAAACCTAGAAGTGGCCAAGGTCTCTCGGGACCTCTGCGAGTCCCTGCCTGCTGCTCCCACTGTGCCGTCCAGCTGACTATGCCAGCCCTGGCAGTATCAGCCAATCAGAGCCTGAGGGAATTTGCTGCCCAGGGGCCTTAGCACCAACATACTGATGGGCTGCATACCTCCTGACACTCAGGACAAGAAGGTTCTGTCTGTTTGCACTGGTTGGCTAACTTCAGGCCCTGAACTGAAGGAGTATTTCAATTTTCCTTTTCTTTTCTTTCTGCTGTTATTTTCCTTTCAGTTTTTCTGAGACAGAATTGGGCACATTGTGAATAGAATGACTGGGGTGGGGATGGGGTAGGGTGGAGTATACCCTCCCCTTTCCTTACTTTTCCCCTTTCCCTGCCCTTTCTTGGCATTTCTTTCCATTCTTTTGGGCAAATGAGTCTGCCTACAGACGCTGTGGCCTAAACTATTTAACCAGCATCCTAGTAGCTAGAACAGGTTTTATTCTTCAACAGGAACTTTGAACCTAAGCAAACCACACGCATTTCCTGAACTGACCACACCACACTCAGAACTGCTTTCGCTTTTTCCTTTTTTTTTTTTTTTAAATAATGAAGGTGAGCCAATGAGATGCCAGTCCTGGGAGCATGAGCAGGGTTCCCATGGTGATATTTGGTGAGCCTGCTTCCGGAAGTGAATGATGACAGAGAATGGAGGGATCTGACTTTCTGCTGCAGAGCACGTGAAGGTATTAGGTGACTGTTTCCTATATGCAGACTACGTGATAAGAAGGGGCCTTTTGGCTGACTGCAGAGCTAGAACTGAAAGTGCTTATATATAAAAGGCTCCGAGGGAAAAATTCTCTCCTTTTCCTTCCTGCTGGCCATGCCCTAGAGACAGCAGAAGACGATTGGTACCCTTCACCCCCGCCCCCAGGCTAGCTCATGAATGCAAGGCCTCCTAGGCAAAGCTGTGCCTGGGATGGGGCCACCTCCAGGTGGGCCTAGAGAAGCCACCACAGGTCCAGGATGAGATTCCATGGTGAAGACAGCTGTATAGCTGAGCCCCATAGGGAGTACATCCCTGAGGAGCCACCTGTGGGATCTGGCCTAGCAGTCAGTCTGCCTGGCGGCCGAGACATCACATTCTTCAAGCAAGGGAGCAACTCCATCCATTGGTGAGGCCACATTCAGAAGGGAATTTGATGATGCAAATGTTTTGTAGTAACCACATCAAGTTTGAACCCACTCTTTCCAGGGACCTGGGTGATAGAAGAGTGAGTATGTGTATCTGCAGTATGTATATGAGGCAGTTGGATGGCTCAGTGGATAGAGCTCTGGGCCCAGAGTTAGAAAGATGTGAGTTCAAATCTGGCCTCAGATACTTTCTATCTGTGGGACCTTGGGTGAGTCACTTAAACTCTGTTTGCCCTAATCCAATGGAGAAGGAAATGGCAAACCACTCCAGTATCTTTGCCAAGAAAATCCCATGGCCAATATTGGAGTGCTATGGTCCATGGGGTCATGAAGAATTGGACACGACTGAACAAGTATGTGTGTAAATACATATGTGTATATATACACACACACGCACACATATTCATATATACACGTACATATATGTGTAAATACATGTATGTATTATACATACACCCACATGTACATGCACGCATGTACACATATACATGTACATATATGCATGCATACAGATGTGTACACACTGGGGAACATACACATATATTCCCCAATGTGTATATATGCACACGAACAATATATATGTGCATATACATGCATTGTATATATATGTTTATACACATGTGTGCATATTTATATTTTCTATCTTATATATATCTAGAACTGAACTACGAGTTAAGCGTGTTAAAAAAACTCTACCAATCAGATTAAGCTACAGCCAAATATCTATTTCCCAACATTATATACTAGAATATCAAAATACTCACCAAAATAAACCCATACTGGATCAGAGGCAGTAAAGTACAGTGGAAGGAGTCCTCATTTATTTGGAAGTCTGGAGATCTGGGTTCCATTTCCTTCTTGACATTAATAAGCTGTGTGACCTTTGGAAAGTCATTTAACTTCCTGGGGAAACAGTTTTTTCATCTGTAAAATGAGACAGTTTAGACTAGATGACCTTTAAGATTCCTTCTTTCTTATGAATGTTATTTCATTTTATTTGGGTCCCTGGTATTTAGAGGAAGTTTTTGGTTTTTGTCTCATTTAGTGTAAATGTTTGTTATGAAGCTAAGAGCAGGCACAAACCATAAAGGCGAGCTTATTTGGGGGAGACTGAGGTTTTGCCTGAATCTGTAGTTTACATTCAAAGCAGAACTGACATTCTTCAGCCCCTGGGGTAGTGATTTCCCATTCCCCTGGCAATGAATCTTGATTTCTGATACCTCGAGAGATGAGTAAAAACAAACTGAATTTTGGCTAGTTCCAGGAGCATTTAAATTTCTAGCTGTCATCGTAATAGACCCTTTTGGCATGTGTGAAATGCACTCTTTCTCATGTGATTATTACTTGAAAAGTTAGAACCTGAGACGGATGTCAAGGTGAAAGTGCCAGTAATGACTAAGTACTGAGAGGGACAGGAAAAGATGGAGCCCAAACCGCAAGGAGATATATCTATGTGGTGTTTCACAGGAGGATTGAATTGAGTGGATAAAAGCTCAAGATCAAAGCAATCACACAGGTATAGAAAATGGAGGTAAAATGAGGGTTTGAGCAAAAGGAAATAGCAGTTCTGTTAAGTCTGGGCTCTCAAACACATCCTGAGGATGATGGAGACAACAGTTCACATGTCATACAACCTTGTCATCATAGACTCACTCTCCATAGAAAAAGCGACCCAGAGGCAGCTAGGTGGCGCAGTGGATAGAGCACTGGCCCTAAAGTCAAGAGTTCAAATCCAGTCTCAGACATATGATACTCACTAGCTGTGTGACCCTGGGCGAGTCACTTAACCCCAATTGCCTCACTTCCCCCCCAAAAAAGAAGCAACTCGCACACCAGGAAAGCGTGAAGCCCTGTCACCACACACAATGCCTGAGAAAGGGTGTGTTGACAGACTCCATCCAGCTTGTTCTGGCTGCCTCCCTGCCAGTCAATGCACCAGGGACTCGCCCATCTCAGGCAATCTTCCTGAGACTTCTCAAAATGCAGCCCTGCCAGTCTCAAACCACACCTACAGGTCTGCCTCTCCCTTGTATGCAATAAAAAAGCATCTTGAGGCCCACTGGTGGCTGCCCTATTTCTCTTCCTAAAATATCCCAGCTCTCACTGCTTCGGCAGACGGGCATGATGATGACCCATTTGCTCACAGCTGTGGTTAGCTTCCCGTGGTGCTGACAATGCAAGCCCAATTTGAACTAACTCTGCTGCCCGCTCTAAACTGGAATCTGAGCGCTTCTCTAATAACGCTGAGGAATGCATTTGAAGATTTTTTTTTTTTTGGCTTTGCTTTAAAAAATTTTCTTAAAATATTCCTGCAGTTGAGAGTTCTGTCCCTATAACAGGTTTGCCACTTATAATACCCCATGCTCCCTAAGAAAATGTATTGCATATATATTACAAATATATATTGCGTATGTACCATGAATGCCAATAAATTTACTGACAAGGACAATGTTCTCCCTCATCACGTCTATCTCCTTTCCCAGGCTCCTCTGCTGCTAGGGCCTTCCCTCTGAGATTTTCTTATACCTAGTTTGTATTTATCTTACATGTATTAATGTATTGTATTTTGTTCAGTCATTTTTCAGTCATGTCTGACTCTTCATGACCCCTTTTGGGGTTTTCTTGGCAAAGGTACTGAAGTGGTTTGCCATTTCCTCCTCCAGATCATTTTACAGATGAGGAAACTGAGGTAAACAGGGTTAAATGACTTGCCCAGGGTCACACAGCTAGAGAGTACCTGAGGTGGGATTTGAACTCAGGTCTTCCTGACTCCAGGCCCAGCACTCTATCCATTGTGCTGCATAACTGCCATATGTTATCTTCCTCCATTACACTGCGAGCAACAGGGTAGATTATCAATCAATCAATAAACATTTATTACATGCTTACTACCTGCCAGGCACTGTGCTAAGTGCTGGGGATACAAAAAGAGGCAAAAGACAGTTCCTGCCCTTAAGGAGCTTACAATTTAATGGGGCTAGGCAAAATAGACTCCTTGTTACTCCGTGTACATAACATCCCACCTTCCATCTTTGGGAAGTTGCATAGTCTGTCCCTGATGTTTGGAATGTACTCCCTCTTCACCTTTATCTTGTAGAATCTCTACTTTTCTTCTAAAATCAGCAGGGCCCTTCCACTTCCCCAGCCCTGAGATTGCCTTGTATTTATTTTGCATATATTTCTTATTTACTTATGTCTCCATGTCATTTTGTCCAATAGAAAGCAAACTCCTTGAAGGCAGGGCCCATTTCTCTTTTGTATACATCTTCCCAGTGCTTATCACACAGCAGGTGATTAATAAATGCTTGTTGATTATTACATTGTGTACTAGAGACTAGAAACACATCTCATGCAATGCATAGAACATAATGTTATCTAGCTATCTTACATGCAGTAACTAGAGACATAGGCCACATTCAGAGACATAATTCAGGCACAAAAGCATGAACGTTATAGCATTCACATATTAGCACATATGGAAGAAACATAACACAGCATCAATACCACATATAACATCATATGTACATATAAAACACACACTATATGACATCTAACAATGAGCTGATTATCTAGCTATATGGGTAACCAGTTCCTTCCTTAGACCTGGTATATCATAGGAGGGATGTATGGAGTG